GTGTGTGTGTGTGTGTGTGTGTGTGTGTGTGTGTGTGTGTGTGTGTGTGTGTGTGTGTGTGTGTGTGTGTGTGTGTGTGTGTGTGTGTGTGTGTGTGTGTGTGTGTGTGTGTGTGTGTGTGTGTGTGTGTGTGTGTGTGTGTGTGTGTGTGTGTGTGTGTGTGTGTGTGTGTGTGTGTGTGTGTGTGTGTGTGTGTGTGTGTGTGTGTGTGTGTGTGTGTGTGTGTGTGTGTGTGTGTGTGTGTGTGTGTGTGTGTGTGTGTGTGTGTGTGTGTGCGTGTGTGTGTGTGTGTGTGTGTGTTTGCATATGTGTGCAACGTGCTCGTGTGTCTGTTTGCGTCTTACGCAACTCGGGTCACACATGTACACATGTGCATACATGTACTGAGGACTTAGTCAAAACTTCTCAAAGCACCACATTGGCGCTACCAAGAACTCATCACTCGAACGGTGCAGCCTTTTCTTATGATTCGGTTGGTGCAGCCTTTTCAAACACAAGGAATCAAGAGTGTTCCACTTGAGCCAAAATGTTAGCCAATTGAATCCTGCGCATTGCCCCTCATAAGGTTGACCTCCCTTCCCTATAGATGTTTTGGCTTAGGGGAAACTAGGGACAAATCGACTTGCGCGCACAAGCACGCTCAGGTGAGCTGGTGGGCGCCTGCGTGTGCCCAGGCAAACATCCCATTCCAAGTTGCACGTGGCGCAGCTTGCGCGACTGTTCAAAGTACGCCGAAAAAAGGTAAGTTAAGGAAAGCTGCTCGCACGTGAGCTCGTAGCACATGAAAAAGTCTTTTTTCAAAGGTGACGAATCAAAACCTCAGCTGATCAGCCAGCCGCCCAGTAGGGTAAAATGAAACTCAAAAACTCATTTAGGGATGGGTCATAATGAAAGAATGCACTGTCAAACAATGCCGGGAGACAAAGTTGCACAGAGTGGGTTTTGTTCTCACAGCACCAAGTGTCCCATTGCTGACGACGCATCAACATCTGCCAAACATCAAGTTTGTAAGTCGCTCTGGAGAGCGTCGCGCTGGATGCCATCCGCAGATCATCTTGCACTTGTTCAAGCCACTTCGGACCAAACACCAGTTCGATCGAGCTCTGCACCGCTTCCATCAGCCGCTCGGACGATCGAACCTGGTGTTTCCTTAGTCCATCAAGTAACACTGGCTCTTTGATGATTTGACTCTTCGAGCTTAAGCAAACAAAGTGGACTTTCTGTACTGGTGCGGGGGATCCAGGAAACCCCAAGGATTCATCATGGATGCGCGATGCGTTGAGGAACTACCTGCGGTGAATTCCCTTAACATCTCGGAATGGACCGGGAAATGGTTCAGATAGCCCCCATGCAGGCCACTTTTCTGGGTGCCAAGACTCACTTTCATGAACTTGTAGAGCTGCGTCAAGGAGTACGCCGGGCCGCCAGGCACCACACAGACGCTCGGTGCCAAAGCAGCGCATTCCAGCGCCGCCGTGTTCTCCTGAGAGCAATGAGCGGGCAAGGAGCCAGCTGGAGAGCCCAAGTTGGAGGTCTAAGGTCAGGTGGATAAAACTATTGTCTAAAACCACGCGATCAAATCAAAATAAAACAACGTTTGGAGTTCTGACAAAGAATAGTCGAGAGACAGTCAGAATCTCTTGAATGATCCGCACAGCAGATGTGAAGTCGTACATCTGCTGCCGGTTGCCATGCAAAAAGATGACCCCCGCGCAGCCAGTCAGGTTGTCGAGCGCCCTTCTCAACGGGTCTGACATGGCCGGGTCAGAACTACTTGAAAGTTGGAAAACTTGATGTAGAAAACTTAGAAAACCTGATGTGGTCAGCGAGGGTGCTACAGGGTTACACCTGGCCGTTGCCAACATGAGTTGTTTAGAAATGCACGTAGAAGTTCACTGAAAACACCCAAAGACATCACATGCCAAGTAATAATCTAAAAACACCCCGAGCCATCATGGCTGCAGTGATCACAATCACAGCCAACACTGGATGGGCCGATGACGTTTCAGCAAAGAAATTACAAAGACATTATGGCTTCATGGTGTTATTGCCCTCGATCGCGGCATGTCTTTGATATTTTCACAAACAGTAGTCCCGCACAAGGATAAAAAACATGCGTGTAAAATGTTGTTTTGACAACCCCCCCCCCCCCAAACAGATCAGATCCCAAGGTTGGTGAGCGATATATGTGCCCAACTGCAAATGGCTCACCATCAGACAAAATGTACCGACAACCCAAGTCCGTGATCTCAGCATAAATGGCATGAACCGCTTTTGGCAAGACCTTAAGCGCAACCCCCCCTCAATAAACCCCCCTAATACTGAAAGTTAACAAAAGGAAACCACGAGGGGATGCAATATCTGGTCTGCCTGAGACCTGATGCCCTTATATCGCACATGGCAGTCATGTCGAAGGTCGAAAAGGATTGCCTTTTGAAACAACCACAAAAAGAAGAGGCCTTTCTTTTTCCGGACCTCAAAAGGAGACCCACTCAGTGAGGTGAAGTTGTTCGACCTGGCGCGTAGTGTGGAGCTGGGGGAGCTACAAGAGCACGAGGCTCTTGGCATGGGCTACTGGGCTACAGGGGCATAGCCACACAAACCTGGGGACCCGATTGCTTTTCCAGCCCCAAACCTGTGTTCAACTCTCAAGACCCCCGTCTCTTCTCTTTGGTTCAGGTCGGGGATCGAAACAGCAATGTCCCCCCAATCTTGATCCCACACCTCCAATGGAGCCCTTTGTTCTTCGTGGTTTGAATGGATATCCCTTCGCCTTTTGCCCCCGGAAATCCACTGGAAAATCGGGTAGTCTACTAGCTCATGGATGGACATCAGTCCTTTGGTTGTTAAACTGGTATCGGAGTTACTATTTTGGGCAAACCCCCTGATAACTGGGGCCAACACTTGCAAGCAAATGTCCTGGAGAAACGTGGGCAACTTTCAGCTGCCCCCCACTCTCGTCCTAGGGGGAGTACCTGGGCCTAATAAAGATTTACTGGCTGGGGGTCTTTGGGTGTAGGGTCCCTGATGTTTTTGTCGAGTGAGATGGTCCTTTTAATTAGATGGTGCCAAAGTTTCGGCAAAGGAGGGAACCAATCCTTGCTGCACTGTACCAAGGATTATTTTGAGGGAATCTGGAAAAAGGGCGGTATTGGTTTTTGTTTGGTTTTCCTTCGAAGCAACCCCAAAATGAGCACCCTCGAAAACGATGCCCCTGTATGGTGCAGCACATTCCACGATCCGACAACAAAAGCTATATGAGCCACCTCACGCTTGCCAAACAAGTGATGTTGAGACTTGCTTGGAAGGGAAACATAGTGACCGCATCTGTCAAAGTGCAACAGGCTCAAGTTTCACAGGAAACGTTGGCAAACTAAACCGTTTCACAGTTTTAGGTCCCAAACATGCGTTTGTCCGAAGCTGGGGAAGTGGAGGTAGGGGCTTAGGTTCACAACGCCCACCCAAAGCCACAAGGAAGCCAACATCCCATTTGAGGGTGCCATATCCCACTTAGAGGAGCTCGTATGAGGCCTGGTCAAAGCACGATCTATTTGGGAACGCACATGGCGGGGACTCACCAAGTTTCCCGGCCGATTCCAGACGGCCGTGGACCTGCATCCCATCTAAGAGGGTCTCCGATCAAATCGCACCCATATGTTGTCGCATACCCAGACCTCCAGTGGTGCCTCTTTGTTTGTCGTTTTTCTCGGGGTTCCACTTGAAATCAAATATAATCAAATACCCGAAAGAAGCGCTTTGTCTTTCCCATGGCTGGAGGTCTTTGCTGTTGACTCGCAGGACTCGGTGGCCTGCCTCCAGTACTGGCAGAACACCCTGGTCACCGGCGGCAGCGACGGCCAGGTCGGCTCTCAGCTAAGAGGGGGGCAATTTTGGCTGAAACAAACGGAGCCTGAACCCCTTTAGATTCAATCGCGCGACCACGTGCCAGGGGCCAATTCAGATTGTTTAGACAATAATGTCAATAGTTGTTTAATTAGGAATCAAGGGATTGGCCTATTTCTGATTTGCACCCTTCCAGAGTCGACCACCTCGGGTGCCTGTTGCACTGTCGCCTGGCTGCGCAGGTCTGCATCTGGCGGTGTGGAGACTATGAGCAGTCCTCGCCACGCTTGGCCGCAGATTCTGCCTAAGTGACACTTTGACCCAACTGACCTAAAGAAAGTGATGGGAACATGTCCAGCAAATGTGCGGCGTGCAGGGATCCGTGAACACCCGAATGGAAATATGGTTGACCTAGATCCTTTACACAGCGGCATATCGGGCATATGATATTCAACAGTCCTTGCTGCACATGCGTGAAGCTGAAAGAACCTCGGTGAAGCGACTGGTTGGGCGCTTGGTTGTCGTGAGGCTTTCCTTCGTGTACAGCGAAGAGCCTTGCCAGCCCAACCCCCCACCCCCCGAAACGAGTGGGCGTCAAGAGAGTCGATCTTTTTCTGCCATAGGCTGCCATAGGCACTCAGCATTGCAACGTGGCCACCAGGTCATAGGCCGAGGACTGCAGCTCTTAGGGCTTAGGTTTCGGGGTTTCACAGGTTTTGCGGGAATGGAAGTTCGTGTTTCAACACGCTTGGCAGATGCTTGCCCAACACTCCTCTTGGCGGTTTTTGTAATTAGATGACTATCTGGCTTCATGGAGCTTGTCCCATGTCCAGAACTTCTGCCAATTGGCAGGCTGCTCTTGAAGTTCAAGGGCCACAAGGTCTCGAAGAGGGGGGTGGGGGGTCATGGAGGGTGTCCATCTATGGCATTGTTCATTGATTTCCACATAATGCGTGTCCCTCTGCTTTCCACATGTTTCCATTGTTGTTCTTTGGTTTTCATGTCCCCTTGCTTGGAGGTTGGATTCCATGCCATGCATGGTAATGAATCGAACCTTTGCTTCAGACAAGGCCACGCCCAGCCCACATTCGATGCTGTCACGTATGGGGGGTGTCCAAACATTGGGGGCCCTTTGGTGGATGTGCAAAGGGAAACCAAACAAACAGGTCCCCTTATGTATGGAAACATCAATACGCATCTACCGATGCATCTGGTCCTGTGATGTGTTCAGGATGAGGGCTGATCATAAATTGGACCTCCTTGCCTATTTTTACCGAACTTCCAGTGGTTCTCTGTTTCACACTTTGTTTTGAGGGTGGCAGTCCCTTCAAAAGTCAATCGTGTCCTTCTTTGGCCGTGGAAATCCACTACTTTGGTATGTATGCGACAATGCCATTAACTCCACTTGGACTCAATTCCCCCCCTCCATCCCCACCTAAGAATGCAGATTTAAAAGGTAAAGCAGAGTCTTTGCATCAACAACCCAGTTTAATTGGGTCTTTTAACTGGGTGTTTGTAAAGTTTGGAGCACCAGGACTTCAGAGCGGCTTCTGGGTCCCTTGTGGCCTTGATCACGCGCCACTGGCCAAAGCATTTTTGGTTCGGAAAGAGTGCACTCCCGTTGAAGACTCAATCATGCTGCAATGGAAGGGGGGCATGCCCGCAATCAAGGCACCTCTCAGATGAAATCATGTAAGGGCCCGTTCTGCCCAATTTGGGGGGTTGAAAATGATCATCGTCACAAGATGCTGACACCGAAGCCCCTCTCCCTCGCTCCCTGAAAACGGTAACCTAAACCTTCAAAAGGCCTTTTTACCCTATCAGAAGTCCTGTCTAAGTGGATGAGATGGGGTTGTGGACTTCCTGGGAAGCATGTCAGACCTCGCTAAGCTTGAGAGAGAGAGCGCGAGTCTGACTTGAAGTTCCATCAAGCGGCAAGAAGAAAACCTGTCAAAGGAAAAAGGGACACCGAGGCCCATTTTGAAGAAACACCCTATCTTATTTGGAGAGAGTGTCCTATCAAAAACGGGGAGGTCAAGGCAAGCCTCAGAAGTTTTGAGTGGCTGTTTATGGCAACGTGTCTCTACGTCAAACCGTGGGGAGGCAACTCCTGGCTCATGGGTTGGATGCCCAGATGCCAGGCAGCCGTGACATGCCTTGCGGCTGGCGCCCAAGTGAGGGTCATGACCCAGACCTGTGGTGCCCTTTTGTCCGGGTTCGAAAATACATCCGGAAGATCCTTCCAGATAGTGGCGTCTCACTATGGATTGCGGATTAGGGATCCCCATGGACTCTATTTTTTTGTGTGTTTGATGGAGCCTCTTGTGCCAGGGGACAATTACGTGTCTGGTTCGTGTAGCCACTATGTAAGCCAGGAGCAAAGCCCTTGCTTCGTCATGGATCGCAACTGATCTCTTCCACGTGGCACAGTTGAATCGCATGGTCTTCGTATGAGAGCGCCCCAAGAAAACAGCGAAACCGTGTGGCGGGTCGCGTGCACTTCGATCGATCACTTTGGCTTTGCCAAACGAAACGGCCCTTTGCAAAAACAGCTCCCGCTTCGGTGCGTTTCTTTTCGGCCCACTTGAGAGGAGCTGGGGCATCTGCAGGGTGACGTTGATAAAGAATGGGCGCTTCCAGGGGTAGTGCCTACTGTGATTTGCTCCGTTGTGGCTTCCCGTTTAAAGATATCGTCCGCAAATGTGGAATCTGTTCCTGTTGGCTTTCCTTTCACACCGGTCATCCCTTGAAGGTGGGCGGTTCGGTTTAGTGACCCCTAAAAGAAACCCAAAAGAGGATTCAGAATCAGTTGATTTTCCCAGCCCCTCCATTCAGCACTGAGATTATGACCCAAGAAGGGTGTGCCAACTTTTGAAGCAAAAGTCAGGGCACCCCAAGCAGATTCTGATAAATGGGTTCCAGCTTGCACCTGCGCACGTGTGGTATCCTAGAACCCATTTAATCTTTTAGAACCCATTTGGGGTCACCCACGAAAGGAACAAAAAGGCCAGAAAGAGGCCTGTTAATTATTTGTTTTGCGGAATTTCTCCCAGCGCACGCTGAGATCCACCCTTCTGGGCGCATGATGGCCAGCTGGGACCTTGGTCAGACAATCTTGATCACCCGCATTTGGCGAGGCTCTATTGGCCAGACCTCCAGTGGTGTTTTGTTTCCCGTTTTTAGATGCGTCGTAACTTTAATATCGCTTACAGAAAATGGAGGTGTCCTTTTTCCCATGATCGCTGGGTAATATGTTAGATAACCACGCACTTGTTTTCTTCACTCGCTCTCACTTCCTCCAGCTCTCCTGCACCCAGTACCGCACTCAAACTAAACCTCCCACGAGAAAATTCAAACAACCTCTCGTTCATTGTTTCTTTGCTTGTCAATGAATCAAGTAAATTGCTCCTATGTCAATGATCATGTCCAATTACTGTTATGTGAGACAGAAGAATGCCCCCTGCTGGAATCCACATTTTCCTGATGGTAGGTGGTGCATGCATGTCTAATTCAACCTTGCCCCCGGAATTCATGTTTGCTTGAACTTCCTTTTGAATCAGGTTTCCAGGGTTGACACTGATAACAAACATTCAGTTCGCCTTGGATGACTTGTACTTTTGGCTCAAGATAAAAGGAGGGTCGCGCGAGTGAAGCTTTCTGTGCCGCCATTGCACTTTTGGTTACACTCTTCACTTCATTTGTCTTGATTCGTATTTCGTCTGGTTATCAGCCGTAGCTTTTGAGCTGCGACCGATAGCTACGGCGGGTGAGGGCGTCGAGCATCCGGGAGTGGCACCGGAACTGTGGAACCTCTTCGGTTGGCATCGAGCCGGACGAAGAGGCAAGTCACAGAAACTTGGTGTACTACGTGACGGATTGGCCGAGGGGGTTTTATCAAACGAACCTCCATTTGTGCTGGATAGCACCTGGGACAGGCTTGCACGTGCAAAAGTCAACTGGGAACAGCTACAGCTCTACGAACAGGCCTTTTGGAACGAGCAACAGCGTCTGACTGAGGAGCCCCAGAATCATCGGGTGTCTTTTCGGGTTGTGAAGGCAGCGGATCGATCTGCTCCTCTTAGGCTTGTGCAGCGCGAGTCGCTCCGAGCCGAAGAGCCTGCATCGTCATCTGTGGAGCCTGTGCAGCACAGATTGCTCCAGGCGACCAGCAAAGCTGCGTCGAGGCCAGAGAGCACTTCACGTACGCCGAGGCGCGCTGAGCCTTCCGGGCATCACTTCGCTGCGGTGATTTGTGATTTGGCTCTTGCCACAGGAGTATTCAAGTGTGTGAACAGCAATTGGGAAGATCAAGGATTGTCCTTTGTCTACGAGCCGCGCTACGGCATTGACTTTCGGGACAGTTGCGTGGTTGCAATCGACTATCACCAGGTTCTTGACAGAGCCCGTTGCGGACGCACAGAGTGGGATTACGAAGGTATTTGCCACGACAACCTCGAAGCGATTAGACAGCTGAAAGCCGCTTTCTTTCGCGAAGGTATCCACGTTGTGACAATCTGCCTATCCTACCTCCATAGCCAAGAACGCCGAGACGCATTGGTTGCTGCGTTCAATCGCACTCCGGATATCTCATCAGTTTTTGACTTCATCGTTACAACTTCTGAAAGGGCCAGTTTCAATCCCAGGACCCAGAAAGGTGGGAAGGTGCTAGTCCTTCAGGATCTGCTGTCAGTTGGATTCCGCTCGGCATTCATCGTTGACGACAGTGACGAGGTCATCAACAGTATCATCGATCGCCAGGTACAGGACAAGATCTCGGGCATTCACATCAAACTTCGCAGAAAGCCACCGGCCAACAATTTGTTCAGGCCAGTCGGATTTCTTGAGGATTGTGTGGCCCATTGGCCGGAGTGCGCCGCAAGGTGCAAGCAGGCATTGCGTCAGTAGCTTTTCCTGTCCGACCAATTTCAAGAAGCAATGGAGCCGTCAGAAATAGTTCCAGCTGCTCAGGGATCTGTACAGATGTTTTCACCCCCGCAGGTCGCAGACTCCAGTAATAGTAATGAAGACACTAGCATGTCCACGGCATCATCCCAACCGATGGGTAGTAGGATCAACATGCAAAGTGCTCAGTTGCATCAGCATCATCATTTCTCACCAAATGTTGAAATGCACGCTCAAGCTCATCACACCCAAGTGTACCAGCCGACCATGGTTGTTCAATCATTGGATCAACAACTGGTCGAAAGAGCTGAAGCGCATTTGAGAGAGAATGATAGGAGGTTGGTTGTCACTGAAGCCCAAGCTCAATGCTTAATGGCCGAGGCTAGGGATAGGGTAAATCAATTGGAAAGCCAATCCTTCAATCAAGTTCATGCCCTTCAGGAATCACTTGAAAGGACCAAGCATGAATCGGGGGACCAATTGAGACAAGCCCAGGAGCGAGTCCTTTATTTGGAATCACAAGCCAACGCACAGGTTCAGGCACTCCAAGATGCCTTGACGAGGACCCAGCATGGCACAAGTGACCAGATTAGGGAACACCAACTTAGGGAGGCCGAAGCAACGCAGAGGGCGCAACAGTTGGCAGACCGATTGCTAGCAATGGAGCAAAGGTTGAATTCTCTTGAAGCCGAAAATCAATCCTTAAAAAGGGAATTGGCATGCATCCATAATGGCGCGGATAATCAGCCACTGCAGGCGAGTGGGCATCCTGCTGTGATGCCTTCGGGCACCAGCCAGCCAGTGCAGGACGGGTCCGTGATGCCGCAGGGCACCGGAAACCCCCAACCGATAGCGCATGGCAATGGTTCACATCAGGCAAGCCCCGTGATGCCTCAGGGCACCGGAATCAGTGCACACAATGCTTCATCATGGGACTTATCAGGTGCTGTGAGAAACATTTTTGGGGATTCTTCTCCAGTTGCACCGAATCCGGGATTAAGTGCATTAGAAAGGCGTTTGGATCAACTCACATCAGCCTTTGAGCTATTTGCATCCCAGACTGCCGCCGCTCAAACTGTGCCGCAAATTCATCAGGCAGGAACAGGGCAGGTCCCTCAGATTTTCAACATAGGATCTGTGGGAGGGCAGTCGGGGGGTGGATCGCAAAATGGTTCACAGCATGGTTCTAATCCTGGGTCGCCAGATCACTCGGATAGCTCATCAAGCGAATCCAACAAGGGTGGAGGCGGCGGGAGACCAGGAGGTTCGCCAGGAGGCTCGCAAAGGCCTCCTCAGGGCCCCTCAATTCCCCCTCAAGGAAATCAGGGAATGGCCCAAATTGACGGGGCAATCGATGCCTACTCAAGGGAAAAGAAACTCATGCGTGTGAAGGCATATGATGAGATGAAGTTGCCTCAGCTGCCCAAAACGGCGGCAGACGCTCGCCTATTCAGGAACTCGGTTTTCAACCTTGTGTGTAGGCTTGCAAAGGGTGACGAATCCTTAATCCATAGCTGGATCGCCGAAAGCACTAATCCCAAAGCCGATCTCGAGTCGAGCCTTCCGTTTCCAATTCTTGATCGAGTGTTGGGTTCAAAGCTGCTTGAGCTGTCGAAGAACACCAAGTTTGCCATGCTTTTCCAATCCATTCAGGAGCAAGAGCAACGGGTCTTCAAGCAGCCAAAGGGGCGGAAGTTGTTGTGGGTCATCTTTGAGAGGTTTAAGATGGAGAAGGATAGGGGAATTGCCTTGACTCAAACCCATCTCTTAGGCCTCAAGATGAGCGGCACCGACATTAAGGCACTCGAAGATTTCCGTCAGAGATTCGACTTCGTGTACCAGGCCTTGGAAGTTTCCGAGAGACCGAGTGACCAAGCTATTAGGAGCACCCTTTTCGAGCAATTGAAAGGACATCCAAAAATGGCTTTGGTGATCGACCGTTTCAGGAACGCCAGTCCAAACAGCAGTAAAAGGACTTGGCCTTGGCTTTACGCGAAGCTCGGGGAAATCATCGAGATTCATCAGCTAGATGAAAATGTCGTGTCAATCGATCAGGTGTACACGCAATCCGCAACTAAGTCCCAAGCAGCGCCAGCCAAGACAAAGGAAGGGAAAGACAAGAACGACAAGAAGAAGGCAGAGAAGAAGGGGGAAGCCCAAAAGGAGCAACCTTCATCCAGCCAGAAGCCCAAAGACTCCAAAGATCCGAAGCCTAAAGAAGCGAATGCAGCACCCGCAAAGGGGAAAGGCAAGGGCGAGAGTAAGGGTGGCAAGGGTAAGAAGGGGGACACAACTCCTAAGCGCACTCCTAGGCTAACGGATGAAGAGAAGAAGAAGCAGCCTAGAAGAAGAAGCAGCCTTGCATGTACTTTGGGTATAATGCTTGCACCAAAGGTGATAAGTGCTTCTATCTGCATGATTCCAACAATCTCTATAAGGGACCCAAGCCAAAAGGGCTTCAGACGTCATCGCCAGCAGGTGCAGCCTCCGTCAACGCAGGGGCAGCAAAGGTTTTCGCAGCCGCGTATGCCTTGAAAGGAACTGTTGCTGAAGCTAAGAAAGCAGCCAAGAAGTGCAAGAAGACCGCATTTTGCACTCCCGTGTTGTCGCAATGCATGAAAGCCGTGGCAACCATGATTGCGTGCCTTAGCCAGCCAGTGCAGCAAGAGTTTCTGCTGGACACAGGTGCCGGTAGGAACTTAATCTCAAGCAAGAGTTTGCCGCAATCCTTCAGGGAGCATGTGCACGAGGCAAATGAGCCGATCGAATTCTGCACCGGCGGTGGCATCAGGCCTAGTGCTGAAGTGGTGGATCTCTCAGGGGAATTGTCAGGAACAAACACGTTCTACATGTTGAAGGATTGCCCTCATGCCTTGTCGGTAGGCCTTCAAGTGGAACAGCATGGCAGGCCATTTGTGTGGTTTCCAGGCCAACTCCCATACCTAATCAAAGCAGATCGGGTGAGTGATGTCGTACATCACGTTCCGGAGTCAGCCAGGATTTATGCCGATCGTGTGGAGCAAAACGTTCCAATCCTATCCGAAAGCGTGGCTGTCGCAGCACCAGATGCCGTGTCAGGAATGCCAGCAACAGGAGGAGAGCCTTCGTCCTCATCAAAAGGGGACACAAGTAGGCCGTCAGTGAGACCTCATGAATTGCTTGCACCGGACGCCAAAGCATTTGAAGAAGC